AAATTGGTCGAGTTTGTTTCCCAGTCACCCGAGGAGACACCCAAGCCGATTCTGGAGGTGCCCAGCATGATTGCTGAAACGAACTCGGCTGGTTACATACAGGTCCAGCTTATAAACCCGACCGATGACGATATGCAGCTGCCCGCTGGTTTCGAGCTGGGGCAGACTCAGCTGTATGAGGGGCTGGTCGCCACAGTCTGCGTGGACCCGGCGGGAGGTCAGGATCAGGGCAGTACTGGGCCGCCGCTCTGGGCCGGCCGCTGGTCAAGCCAACATTTCCTAAATCAATTCCCTCTGGAACATCGGAATGGGGATCGGAGACGGCGGGTAGAGGGGGGAGGCATCAGGGCCATGCCCCCCCCCCAAGGGAAAATCAGGGGTCATCATATAATTTGCCCCCCCCCCCCACCCAAAAAAAAACAAGCGATGGGGCCCCGGCCCTTATTCGATTGTCACGAGGCCAAAGAAACCCACGCCAGCTATTAACAGCTCCATACCGGTCTTCGAGGGTCCTACACTGACCTCTGAGGGCCCTTCCGTGGTGGTCAAGCGCCCACATTGACCGTGGAGGACACGCATTGACCTCTGAGGGCCCCCCGCTGGCCTTTAAGAGCCCCTAAGCCGGCCTCAGGGGCCCATCCGGCGTCGTGAGGGCCTCACATCGGCCTTTAGTGGCATTTCTGTCTCTGGGGTACCAAGACTAACCTTACGTGTCCCTGACTCCTGAGGGCCCTGTAATGGATTTTGAAGACTCGATGCCGGCCTCTAAGGGCCTGCATCGGCCTCTGGGGGCCTATTTTGGCCTTTGGGGCCCTCTGCTGGTCTGTGGGATCTAACGCTGGCTCATACCGGTCTTTTAGGACCCAACACTGACCCCAGATGCCCCAATGCTGGCCTGTAAGGCCCATATTAGCCTCTGAGGGCCCCGCACTGGATTCTGAAGACCCGATGACGGCCTCTAAAGGCCCGCATCAACCTCTGAGGGCCAATCTTGGCTTTTGAGGGCACTCTGCTGGTCTCTGGGGTCCAACGCTGGCCCATGCCGGTCTTTTAGGGCCCTACACTGACCTCTGAGGCCCCATGCTGGCCTGTAAGGGCCAATATTAGCCTCTCAGGGTCCCGCACTGGATTTGGAAGATCCGATACCGGCCCTTTTATGGCCTGCATTGGCCTCTCGGTCACTAAACCGGCCACTGATGGCCCTATTTTGTTCTCTGGGGGCCCAAGACTTGCCTTTGAGCGTCATGTACTGGCCTCTGAGGGCCCACACCGGCCTCTGGGGCCCCATAGCGGCCTTTGAGGCCGGTATGGTAATAATGGGACCCCTGCAAGCTAGCACTGGGCCTCCCGAGGGTCGACAGGGCCTCTTTGCCAAGTTGCCCCCCCCCCCAAACGCCAAGTCTGCGATCGTCCCTGCATGCATAGGCAGAAGGATGTGGGCACGCGTTTCATGATCGAAGATAATGCCTACTACCGCGTAACTTCTTCGTTTTTTTCCAACTAAATATTAATTATTCTATTAATTAATAATTAATTATTAATTAATTAATTATTCTCCCTCGTTTTAAAATTAGAGTGGCCGAAATCCAACGGGGAATGCAGATTTGGGGGTAGGTTGGTATTGGCGACCAGACTCAAGCAAAGGTTTGTGGCGACGCTCTGGAAAAGTGTCCCTAGAAGTTCTGAAACCGTGGTGACGCCACTGCGAGAACCACGCAACATAGCGACAAGCGGTAAGCGGTGTTGGATAGCCCCATCAGGGAACTACCTTGTGACCCAATTTCGTTGACCTAGGTCAAACCGATGACGTCACAGGTCAGGTCAAATGTCGAATTTTCACCGTTTACAGGCATTTCAAGAAATGCGTTGTCAAATCGAGTAAAATGCATTTCATTGAAAATCATCGATGGGGAAATGTTCGTCAAACACATATTTTGCTATTTGAGGTCACTGATACTAGGTCAGGTCACAGAGGTCAGGTCACTGAGGGTCACATTATGAAAATATCATGTGATGCATGTTTTATGGTCCATTTTATATGCCAAATACGATTGTGTGGGTCAGGCAGTCTTTAGGGTCAGTTATAGAGTTGCAAAATTTCCCCCAAAGGCTGCTACCGGCACCGCCCCGCCCCACAAAAATTTTCTGGGATACCGGCATGCTACCACGACCCAAGCAAAAACACCACCAAATTACCGGCATACTAAAAAAAACCTGCAATGTTGATTCTAGCTTACCCCTACAAGAGATGCCACACTTTGGCAATTTTAGTACCTATCCCAGTTCTCACCCAGCAGCCACCCAATGTCCAACCTAACTACGAACAGGATGATTTTGGCTCAGTTGGCCCCACAAATACCCACAATTTTGAAACTCAGTTCCAGTCTATAACTGTTAAAATATCACGTGTACTCAAAGAGGTATTGCCTACAAAAAGCAGTAAGAAAAAAGCATCAAAAAAGCAATGACAAAAAGAACTTAAATTACTGAATTGTTTCTGAAGACTGGACAGTTCAAGTTAGCAGTAATCACATTAACATTTCAGAGGTGTTCTACTATTCCACATTCTCCTAAAATGTTGCAGGAACCTACCAACCAAAATCAAATTTTGAAATCTAGATGGCCACAACATAAAAAGTACCTACAGATTCGGCCATGTGCCTGAGGAAGCGAGATCAACACCTTTTTTCCTTTTCGCCATGGCTTGCTGGCTCATGAATAAGATACGAATCATTTGAAAAATGTGAAAAACTCACTTGTCCTGAGAACGGTCACCAAATAATATGCATAAAAACGATATATTACCCGCTTTCTCGAAGCATCTTCCTTTCCAAACACAAGGTTATCAACTATCAAAGATTTCGAAACAGATGCGCCATAATAACAGAGACTTTTAACCAACTGATTAAATTGCTGCAAAAAAAAGTTTCTGAACTGTAGCAGACTGCCTCATAAATGATTTGTTGATGTAAATGATCCAAAACGATATTGAATTCTGATGTAATCAACATTGTGAGTTTAGTTCACTACAAGAAAATGCATTCCCTTTCAGGAATTAAACCAAAAAGACATACGAATAAATATTACGTCATCATCTTACATCCTTCCATCAGGGGAGAGAGGATCTTAAAAGTCGATCCTTGGAGTTGGTTCCCCTGTTATTCTGCGCCACTTTGTTTATTTTGTATGCATATTGTGTTTTCTTGTAAAGATGAGACAAAATGCCAGTTTATTTGATTTTCATTTCATTTTTGGGACCAAAGTCAGGCTCAGGGCTGCCTAATACCTGCCTTTTCAGCTGGATTTTCAGTGTCAAATACTTTGTAGAGTATCTCAGACCACATCTCAGGACTCAAGGCCAGTTTCCAACAATGTGTTTTGTGGTGTTTTGATTCTGCCTTTTCCTCTAGGGAACGTTGTCATGAACATTTATTTATTTTGTTGTATTTTACCTATTACATACCCTTAGACTTACTGATTGATCGAGCTTTTGCAGCATGAATAAATATTCTTCCATTTATTGACCACAGTAGATTCTTGACAATCCTTATTATAACGAAACCTGTGAATCGCTGAGGTCCATGTGTTATCCCTACCCTTAGCAATGTAACTTCTACCACAAAATGTATTTTGCAGTGGCTAATATTGGTGTAATTATAATTTGATAGCCTCTTAGTGCCCAAAGTTTAAACCATATGCTGATATTTTCTATTTTTGTGCAAAATCAAAAATACCGGCATGCTACCGGCAAGACATGCCAGATACCACGAAAAAACCTGCGGTAGTGAAAATTTACCGGCATGCCGGTAGTGCGGTAGGGAAACTTTGCAACTCTAGTCAGTTACGACTTACGATTATGTTTCGGTGAAGGTCAGGTCAAGGTCAGGCCAAGGTCAGGTCAAATTAGGTCAACTCTCAAAGTTGATATTTTTGCACAAAACGGGTATCGGTTCGATGCAGCTCCTCGTCACGGGGAGTTCAATGGTGTTTTTTTTTTGCGCTACGTGGTCTAGAATTGCTAAAAATTGAGTTTAAAAATATGACGTCATCAATTTTGAACAGTTTTTTCGCTATAACTTGGCCAAAAAAGGAGGTATCGATCTAAAATTTGGTATGTATATAGAAGAGCGCAGGGACTAACACACATATCCATTTTTTTCGAAATTCGAAAAATTGTTTGGATTTTTTTAGTTTTGGTAAAAAAAATCAATTTTTTGATTTTTTGGGGGTTAAAATAAAAAAAAATTGAAAATCCGAGATAGCAGTTTTGTAGTGCTATTTTTTGTCTACATGACCATATAAAGAGCTTTGAAATTGCTTGGTAACTGTAGCTTTTAAGAGCGTTTCACGATTTCATGTTTTTTGCTCATTTTTGCTCGAACATGACCTCAGTTTGACCTCAATAACTCCTGACCTAAGGTGACCTAAGACTTGAAATTTGGTGTGAAGGTGTCAAATTGATGCCCGGAAAGGTACTGAAAATTTGGAGGCGTTGCGCGCCGCCAATTTCTTGCTATTTAGGAAAAACCACAGGGGGGGGGGCAAATTGCCCCCCCCCCCCCAGCGGGGCGAGGGTTAATCACTTATAATGTATAACAAAGGGTATTTAAAAAAACTGATGGTTACCTTTTATTTCTTAAGATGACCTCAGGGCCTGGGTGAGGTCATGGGTGCAATTTTCCGATTTAGTATTCGGTATTAAGCTCAGCTGTAAAACAACGTTTTAGAGTGTTAATGAAAATCGCAGTTATATTTTGTACCTATATGGTGTGTTCCCTGTGTTCCCCATTGCCCCGTTGTATTACAGGATGTGTTTCCCGTTGGTCCGCTGTGTTACAGGGTGCATGCCTGGCTGTTCCGTTGTGTTACAGGGTGTGTTCCCCATTGCTCTGCTGTGTTACAGGGCGTTGTTCCCCATTACTCCACTGTGTTACAGTGTGTGCTCCTGTTTGTCCCGCTGTGTTACAGTGTGCGTTCCCGATTGTTCCGCTGTGTTTCAGGATGTGTTCCGGGCACCAGCTGGAGGGAGCGCTGTGCCACCTGCTCGTGCCCCTCCCAGAGTTCCGGGCCGTCAGAGGCGGTCTGCCAGGACACCGACTGCCAGGAGGACCCCGCACTGGGTGAGCTCCGAGCCCATGGTCCGAACTGAGGGACGGCTCCAGTTTGGGACATATTGCCCAGGGTAGCGAGCGCTGCTGACCACATTTAGCCATGTTGAAGGCCGTGACAACAGCGGGGCCCGGGGGTATCTATTCCCACTTCCAAGAGCGGGCCGGTGAAAAATGACAAACCGTGTGTCTGACCTTCGCGGTAGACAGGGGCGACATCAGGCTGTCCGTTCGTGACCACAATGGCACCACTGAGTGACCCCCTTCCCCCGGCAGACTGAGGCGACAAATGGCGCTGCGGGTCGCTGGTTCGACTGTTCCACCCCTTCTCCAGACTAGTCTGACCCCTCCCCTCCCCGGCAGACTGGGGTGACACGAGACTGTGCGGCCGCTGGTCCCTCACTGTCTGACCCCTTCTCCATACTAGTCTGACCCCTCTCCCCCTCCGGCAGACTGGGGTGACACCAGGCTGTGCGGCCGCTGGTCCGCCGACTGTCCCGCCGGCTGCCGGTTCGCCCTCCGCGACTGGCGCTGCACCTACTGTAACTGTGCAGCCCCGCCGACACCGGCCGCGGAGACCACAGCAGCGACCCTCGGCGCCGGCTGCGCCCCCGGTACCGGCCCAGCCTGGCTCTGCAGCCAGACCATCCGCGTCACCGACCGCAGAGCGCCGCCCAGCGGCCGCCAGGACAACTCGAGACGCGGCTCCCCGTCGCCAGAGGCGCTGACCACGCTGACTCGCGCGGCCCGCGGCAGCGACGGCGGCTGGACGAGCATCAAGCAGGCGGGTAGGATGGCCAGGGCCCGGGCCAGCGCCCGTGGAGCACGGGACGAGTCACACGGGGCCACAGAAGGGGGAAGGCACAGGTCATCAGCCTTGTGGACGGCTGGTGGGCACCGGCTGTGACAGGGAACGTCTGTGCCAGAGGCCAATGGCAGGATTGTCCTTCCGCTTCGCGTTTTAGTCTTGCTTTGGTATGCGTTCATTTGTTGCTGGTCACTGAGGTAGGAGCTCTATTTAAGAAACCAGCGCGCGAGCGAGGCAGCTCTGTGGGCGAGCGTGCACGGCACCCCACTGCTCCAATGCATACACAAGGTGCAGGGCAAAGGCTGTGCAAATGTGCATCAGATTGTTGAATAAATTATGTCCCAGCAACTGCTTAAATTAAGAGACATGCTCCTTCGAAATCACACTTGCAGCACACTGCCACTGTCACCTGCTAAAAAAGGAAACTGAATTGTATAAAAACGGGCTAACTGGCGGCACTGCGCCATAGCGTATGGGCCAGAAAGCAAGTATCGCATCGGCTGGCTAATCTGCCATCATTTCCCACACTACTGAATGATACAGACGGTGTAAAACACGTTAAAAATATATTTCGCTGTTGATGATCCAGTAGAAAGCACGGATTGTCTTTGAGGCGCCGTCCTCACTGAGAGGCGGGCGCAGATGGGGAGGGTCGATCAGCCACCCCCGAGCCGACTGGTCAGGCCTGCGGTCCTCGGGGGCAGCGAACTGGCAGTGAGCGGCACGGGCCCGAACGCCTTCCAGTTACAAAGCGTACAGCGTACACCAAACAGCCGCTAGAAAACGCACAGCGCACACGGCAACCACCAGAAAACGCACAGCGCACATATAATAGCCCGCCTCGAAGCTGCGGGTCTGTGACGGCGCACGGACGCCCGCCGGGCGACCACGTCCAAAGAGCGCCCGCCGGCGCCGGCCGCGGGGCGGTCAGTGCGGTAAAAAAGCTGCCGTCGACAGAGCAGCGGCCACTGGCCCCGTCACAGCCTCCGTGCGCTACCAGCAACAAGCGGGGGCCGCGACCTGGCGGGGCGGGACCTCAAACATTTACCGCTGCCTCAATACCCGAACTGGTCGGCGGGACAAAACACCGCACGGTCACGCACAATAAATAGAATATCAACAGAGTGGGAGGGGCGCGTCCTGGCACACGCGCACTACTACTACTGACGCGCTGTACAGCGGGCCCTCGGGAAGCTCGTATACACACACTCAGCGCCGCCACACCACGGGCCAGCGGCGCCGCGGCGCCGCCGCAGGATACAAATACAACACGAGCAGCGCCAATCGTCCCAGTGGACCCCATTTGTACAACAAATTGCAGCCGGTATCAGCTAACAGCCTCAAAAGCCAGACGTCGGCCGTAGTTAACATTACTCGGACCATAAAGCTTGTGTCGAGCGGGAGGTAAAACAGATCTGACGTTAAAATCAGATCATGATTTTTCATGCATCACCATAGGGTTAATTTAGGTCCGAAAGGCAAGGAGATAGTCCAAATGCTCCTACTACTAGTAAGTACTACGCTTTTCCAATTCATGAGGCAGGGAATCCGAAAGCTCTACCAAATACTACACTACCTCATGAAACACTCCAGGGACTACACAATTTTGGGGGCCGAAATAATCGCGTCAAGAACGGTTCATTCCATGTCACTACAAGACCAACGTTCACGTCAGCGGCGCCAGCGCGCTGCCACCAAACAGCCCGGAGGAAAACTGTACAGGGCGAGCTGCGCGAGCGAGCAGCTGCCCCAACGATCCTCTCACACAGCCTATGTCGAAACAATGAGTTGCGAAAACCGGCGAGCGAACATCAGATCGGCGTCCACACATGATGTCAAAATGTCGTTAAAAACCTACAGTAAAAATGGCATGTGATCAAAAACATCTTCTTGATGAACAGGGTGATATGGCAATTGGAAGGTCAAATCTCGCGCGCCCTGGAAAACCAGTTATTGTTGTGCGTGCGCACCGATGATTAAAAAACCACTATACAAAAGGGACATTTACAGTTACAACCGTTGAAATGCATCAGAGTGGTTGGCTCCGGCCCGGCCCGGGCCCCGGTCGCGGGGAGGTCGCTGTGGGGTCGCCAGCAGCCCGGGTCGCGGGGAGGTCGCTGTGGGGTCGCCGGCAGCCCGGCGGTACTGGCGGCTCGGCGCCGGCGCAGCGCTGGCGCGCCTCAGTCGTCTACTCACAGTCCGCCGGCCAGCTGTGTGTCACGCAGGGCCTCCGGCTCGCCGGGCCGGCAGTTGCCGCCCAGCTGCACCAGGTGGCTCCAGGGCGCGTGGCCGAGCCAGAGGCGCAGCTCGCCGGTGAACTGGCCCACCGTCTCCGGACAGAAGTAGATGGACATCTGGACGTAACGCTGCGACGGCGCCAGCAGGCGGCCCTCGGTCAGCTCGGTGGGCGTGCGCTCGTTGGGCCCCGAGACCACCTTGAACGGACCCGTCACGTGGTAGTCCACCTGCGGGGAGAGAACAGACAGAGCGGGGGTTAGCGGGCAGCGGCGGCCGACACAGCACTTATCGGATACGACAACTAGAACTGAACGGTGTGGTGACTACTTCACAATTCAGCTCTCCCGGTCATCTCTGTGACCCAGCCTGTAACGCACATAGTTGTTGAGTTATTCCATTAACAAAATAGCAGTTTTACTCACATCCAAGTCCTCGCAGGTCTTGTTGGTCACGTCCAGTTTGTGGCACATGGACCAGTGGTCGAAGTAGAAGCTTTGGCTGGAGACGTGCAGCGGCGTGGTCAGCAGGTCTGCCTCGTCTTCCCCGTCCTCGAGCACACTGCCGCGGCCAGAGACCCGTACTGGCACCGTGTACACCACCATCGGCTGGCCCCTGAGGACGGGTTAACACAGGTCAGTTATAACACCTCACACTGCCGCGGCCCGAGACCCGTACTGGCACCGTGTACACCACCATCGGCTGGCCCCTGAGGACGGGTTAACACAGGTCAGTTATAACACCTCACACTGCCGCGGCCCGAGACCCGTACTGGCACCGTGTACACCACCATCGACTGGCCCCTGAGGGACAGATGAACACTTCAGACTCGCACAGAGCACTGTCACAGGCACGATTAAATATGAACACCCGATGACCACTGGTCACCACAGAGCGTCGTTGAGACGTTATCGAGCGAATCGAACAAATGTTACCTTGCTACTAATCACCCTTACCCGGCCATCCATAACTGACCACCGGGGCCGGGCCGGAGCATGCCCAGGCTCATATCCAACCGCAGCATCGCAGCCCTTCCCGTCCGATCTCTATCCACCTCACGGTCGTCTGGCCGACTCAGGCGGCAGGCGCCCGTGGCACCGACCCACCCGCGCCATCCTCTCCACAGTACCAGCACCTACACAGGCTCCTCGGCCTGCAGTGCCCCCCCGTCCCAGTCCTCCTCACCCCAGCACTTACACAGGCTCCTTGGCCGGCTTGCAGAGCAGCTGGAAGTGCTGCGTCAGCTTCCCAGGGTACGGCGGGCTGAAGCGCACCTGCAGGGACACCGTCTGCCCAGGCGCCACCTCACCCTCCTTCGGACGGATCTTGAACACGTCGTACCCGCACTTCTTCATCTTGTCCGGGTGGGCGCCCTGTGACCGGACAGAAGACGTCACGTGGCGATCAGTTATTAGCGTCTAAGGCTATGCCTATGTTATCTTTTATCTTTCTTAAGGGCGCATAGAGAATTTCAGTCAACAAACTCCATTAAAAACCTACAGCTCGTGGAATCAAAGTCAGTCAAGTAACAAATATTCACGGACCGGTAACGAAGTCTCACAATCCTCCATTGCCCTGTCCCGCCTACACTACCCGACTGTCCCTGCCGTCGCAGGGCTGTCCCGCTGCGCACCTTGACCAGGTAGGGCACGCTGTAGCCGAGGATGTTCCAGGTGAGCACGTCGTCTCCCAGGTTGGTGAGCTGCAGGGCGGCCTCACTGGGCACGCCGAGCGCCGTGAGCGGGAACAGCAGGTGGTCGGTGGAGAGACGCAGCCGCGGCCGGCCGCTGTCTGTGGCCACCACCCGCTCGGCGCCCGGCCCGTCCGGCCACCAGTCCTCGTCCTCCGCGGCCGGCGCCGGCGGCGGGGGCGGCGGGGGCGGCGGCGGGGCCAGCGGCGGGCCGCGCTTCCTCGGACTGCTCTTGGTGCGGCTCGGAGAGGCCGACGGGCGCCGCGGGGAGCCGCCCGGCGCCGCGCTCGGACCCGCCTGGGAGCAGAGAGAAGCCGTCAGAACATGGGTGATTCAAGCAGAGGTGGGGCATGCACTGGCCGGGCGGCACAGCAGGGACGGGAGATGTGTGCATTTTGTGCCAAAATGTCTCACTCGCACAGAAACAACATCATAATTGCTCGAAGTAACAGAAATATCTCAGTGATGCGTCAATCAGTAGCACGATAATAAAGAAAAGTAATGTCAACTGCTAGACTGTAAAGAAGACTCGCCTGAGAGCTCTCTGCTTTCTGCAGATTATTGTTATACGAACTGAGACAGACTTACCGCGGCTCGCTGAGACAGACTTACCGCGGCTCGCTGAGGGCTGACGGGCGTGGAGCTACCCGCTCGACCCACGGTGACGGTGCTGCGAACGACGAGAGGCTCTCAGGAACACGACAAAATCACATTGCTCAGATCAATACAGTGGATTTATTAGAGAAACTCCAGCGTCAAATATGCATTGGAAGACAATTGTGAATAAAGTATTTCTCAATTGCATCAAGTAAAAACAGATACAATTGTGAATCGTTGATTCCCACACAGCAGGGCCTCGGCTAAGGAATTTTGACTACTGGGGCAAATGGTCGAAGTGTGTTAACTGCACCCTGCTGGGGGTGCCCCCCCCCCCTGCGTTTTTCCGTGGATATCTCAAAAACGGCGGAGCGGAGCGCCACACCTTATCATCCACCAATTCTACACATGTTGTAATAATTTCAGACCAAGGTCATCCAAGGTCAGGTCATCAGGTCACTTCAAGTAACCTCATAAAATGTTTCAATTTATGCCATAGCTACACCGAGTGACCGATCGCTTGAAACTTTCAGCGATTGATAAGGGCAACAGTTAGATCACTTCACGGATAGGCTTTTCAGGATCCAACCCGGCCTATATCTAACAATCATATCCGGGTCCACCCATTATCTGCCTCTCTTTGAATTTCAGAATCCGGCCCGCCCATGGCTAATATTTCAGCCAAACATCCAAAAAATATCCATAATAATCCGTTTCGCCATAAACTGGTTGTGGACTATCAAATTCACTGTAAGGGAATTTGATAAGGGATAGGGGATACGGGACCAGATAAGGGATCTGTAAGGGATAAGGGACCAGACAACCATATACCTCACAGACTATCATGGTTCACAAAGGCATGCTTCTAAATCACATGTACAGGTCACCGCTGAAGTAATGTGGGGTTATACTGTAATCGAACAAAACCTAGCACCAATCATTAACCCGCGCACCGACGGGG